ACAAGTCAGAACTGAGCTGCAGGTCTCCTGCTCCAACACAGGCAACGTAATATTTTTGATGTGTGTAATTGCAGTTAGGAATTATAAGACTGAATCTTTTACAGTAAGAAAAGAGCATAGCCCTGATGTTCCAAAGTATATTTTCTCATTCCTACCCCAGATATTTTACTATGCTTTTGTAGAGTCTAGCTTGACAAAAAAAATCTGTAACTAATACTTGATCAGCAGGAGATTTCTGAAATCTTGTCTTGCCAGTGGAACAAAAGGTAACCTCTGTCAACTTTTCATAAAGCTGTTAAAACCTCTCCATTGCTGGACTTGGAATATTTATTTGCCCTCTGAGTTCTGGAGAATGTCCTTTTTATTTCCTTAGCTTGAGTAACTATTTTTAAGGTAGACTTTATTTTTTTTTTTTCTTCCCTAGCTTCTTGTTGGCTCTGAAGATTTTGACATCAGGGTATTTAAAGAAGATGAGATCGTGGCAGAAATGTCAGAGACAGAGGTAAGTTAAGTCTAGCTAATGTTTATTGTAACTGCTGATGGAGCTGAAAGTATTGTGTACCGTAAAGCTTCTCTGGTTCAAATTTATTGTGTAGTTAAATAGTTACTTAACTGTTTGGCACAGTATCTATTCTGCTAGAACTGCAAAAGTTAGAGTTTAAGAACGTCTTTCATTACCCACGGGGTTTTTTGCTTTGTTTATTTACAAACCTTTCACCAGATTGAGAACAGTAACTATGTCTTGACTGAAAGTCAGGGCCCTATCCGAAGGTGATTAAGGTTACTGGATTGTGATTGAAGCTCTTAGTGCCTTCTGAGCAAAAGGGTGTCTTCTGCAGTTTTCCTCAAATGCGTTGACACAATCGTGATGAAGTACCGTGCCCCTGTGTGTATCCAGACAGTGCATGGCAGAGTAGAAGTGGGTTGCCCAGGCAAAAATGGAGGTTCCTATTGCAACTGGAGTTACACGCTGGCTGTATAAACAGGGCTACAGTGCCGAAAGTAAAGTGTGGGGCAGATAGGTTTACAGAGGGATAATTAAAAGGTGTGGGAGTTGCTCTTTAGCTTAAGAACTGAGAGAAGCTCCCCACTGTTAAATTTTGACTGCTCGGAAGGGAGTAACATACCCTTATCATTGCATTTAGGAATTTTCTTAGCCTTCTTACACTACCCTGGACCCAGAAGGGTCTTAAAGGCATGTTACAGACCTTTGTCCCTAAAGATCTGAGGTCTCCCTGCTGCTCCAGTTGAGACTAAAAGGCTTAGTTAGCTAATAAACCACTTATGAAGAGCTATGAAAGGCAAATCCGGTCAGCGTTGTAGGAAAGGGAGCTGTTGCTGTAGCTAGAATTAGAACTGGACCTATAATATGTTCTGCTGCCTGTACAGCAGCCAGTCTAGAGTCATGTTGTGATTCCTAGTTAAAGGGAAGCTAAAGGTCCATCATGCTTATGTGTGATTTATTCTAGATCCACAGTAGAACTGTTTTAAATTCATACCTGCGGAGCCTTAGGAGGCCTGTTACAGTCCTACCGTTCTAATTTAAAAGGCCACAGCTGCACCTAAACCTTTCTTTTTAGTGTTGTGGTTTAACCCCAGTCAGCAGCTAAACCCCACATGGCCGCTCACTCACTCCTTTCTGGTGGGATGGGGCAGAGAATTGGAAATAAAAAGTGAGCAAACTTGTGGGTTGAGGTAAAGACAGTTTAATAGGTAGAGCAAAAGCCACACGCGCAAGCAAAGCAAAACAATGGATTCATTCCCGACTTCCCATGGGCAGGCAGGTGTTCAGCCATCTCTGGGAAAGCAGGGCTCCATCGTGCATTAATGGTGACTCGGGAAGACAAACGCCATCACTCTGAACGTCAGCCCCCTTCCTCCTTCTTCCCACTAGTTTATATACTGAGCATGACACCATATGGTAGGGAATATCTCTGGTCTGTTGGGGTCAGCTGTCCCAGCTGTGTCCCTTCCCAAGTCCTTGTGCCCCCCCCAGCCTCCTCGCTGGTGGGGTGGGGTGAGGAGCAGAAAAAGCCTTGGCTCTGTGTAAGCCCTGCTCAGCAACAACAAAAACCTCTGTGCATTATCAACACTGTTTTCAGCACACATCCAAACCAAGCCCCCCATACCAGCTACTACGAAGAAAATTAGCTCTATCCCAACCAGAACCAGGACATTTAGGAAGGCACATTCAGGGAACAGAGGCTTTATAAGTTGTGCTTGTTTTGGAAGACTTGAATAGTTTGCATTTTCTGTGTTTACTTACTCTGGTGAAACTGAAGCGGTAGGCTGTTGTGATTCTTGAATTTATGAATGGACAATCGGGTACAAAGGGAGTATCGCAACCTTTCTCAGTTTCTGACTGTTGCTGACGTCTTTTATCCCTACTGGGTGCTTGCAATTTAGAGGGTTTTGATACTTCGGAAAGGCTTTGGAGAAGATCATGAGAGGGAAGGATAAAGGGTTTGGAACCAGTCTTTTATGGTAAAAAAAAATCAAGGAGCAAGCAGAGTCAGCTGAGTTTAATTAAGAAGTTGGTGAAGGATTTAATTTAAGGAAATCTCCTGTGCTACATTGTACAGAAGACCAGACAGATGATTGCAGTTGTTCCTCCTGACATTAAAATCTCTAGTCTTAGTGCGTGGAAAAACCTGCATTTCCAAGCACTGAGAGCCTTAGCTCCGTGAAGAATTGTAAGGTAACGGGTCTTAAAAGGAGTGAGAAGCAGGCTGAGTTATGACTCTCGGGTCTTTCCCTGGAGCTGTTAGCTCAGGTAATACCTAGCCTGATGTTCTACTGGTGTTCCAAAGAAGTCTGTGGGAGCTGTTAATTTTTATCTCTCTAATCTTGGGCAAAGATTTTCTGCCAATAATATCTCTAGGGCTTTCCCAGCCCATGTAAAGTTGAATTCTTTGGTGTCCTCGGCTCCTGAAGCTTAAGGAATGTTGTGTGTTTGGAGTAGGTTTTCAGTGATAACATGTTAGGACTGATGAGCACAAGAATCCTATGAGCAGTTGCATTGCTGCTTGTGGTAGGAAATAGTTGGTCAAAGTACACGGTTTGAAGGCAATTCTGCAGTCTTTGCTGAAGTGTATCTTAACGCTTGCAATGCAGCTTGTGTAAGGAAATCCTGCAAGGCCTTTGGTGATTTCAAACTAATCTTTAAAAATAGTTACTTGAGTACTTTAATGCTTCCTACAATAGACTTACCATTTAAGTATTGTACAGTTCATATGATGGCGAGATTGTATAGTCTGATGTCTTCAAGCAACAGAGAACAAAGTTTTCACTCCTGTATCCTCTCTCTCCCTCCTTTCCCCCCGCAAGACTATTACTGCACTTAGCCCCATGTACGGCAGTCGGTTTGGCTATGCTCTTTCTAATGGGACGGTTGGAGTTTACGACAAGACAGCCCGCTACTGGCGGATTAAGGTTAGTCCAACGTTGGAATAGCATCACGGAAAGCTTGAAGGCTGCTAGGAGATTTGGTACCTAATCTCAGGTCGTTCTGATGTTACGCTGACTCCTTAGATGAATTTCAAGTTTTCTGCTGAGCATAGAACTTAAAGTAATTCTATTCTTACAAAATCTACTTATTTTTATAGATATATGCAAAATGAATACCATGTCAGTACCTCAGGGCTTTTTGGGGCTGTTGGTGATGTCTTAAACAACACTGATAAAACCGTACAAGTAGGGGTGCTTCAGCTTTGCAGTGTTGTTTAAGCGACAGAGAAATTTGAGTTCGCTGTTAGAAAATGCCTCTGGCTATATTGTTGAATCAATAAACTATTTTTCAGAGACTGAATTAATCTCGCATTGTCTATGTTTGAAGCTAATTTTTCTCATCAAGACCAATTTGCTGCTGCAGCAAATCATATTGGCAAGATCCTTTCCTGATACTCATTTTAGTATTCTTAATATAACACAGATTGGAACAGTCTATTTGATAGTAGTAAGAGAAAGGATTCCTTTGGAGGTAGCAGGAAGAGGCTTATGGCTTTCCTTAGCGGTCTCATTTTATGACAATCTTGAAACCCTGATTATTTGTTTTTCCCTAGAGAATTTGGCTGTTTACATTTTGTTTTTGTGAGTTCTAATCATGTGCTTAGATGAAAATGTATTTAAAACAAAGATCAGGTCCTTTGAGAGCACTGGAGTAGATTTGTAATGCAAGGGCTAAGATTTCGGCTGTGTGTGACCTTAGATAGCGATGCTCAATCTTCCTGTTAAGAGACATTTTTGTATTCCTTTCTGTAATCTCTGTGGCCTCATACTCCAGTGTCTTGCATGTGCAATTTAGAAATCATACCCAGGCTTAATTTGTTCTTTGGTTTCGGTCCTCAGTCTAAAAACCACGCAATGAGCATCCATGCGTTTGACCTGAACTCTGATGGTGTGTGCGAGCTGATCACTGGCTGGTCCAACGGGAAGGTGAGTTTATACAGAGGAGAAATGAGGAGCTGTAAATCTAGAAGCTGTGTTTGAACAAAGCTGTTAAATTATCTGAAGGAGAACAGCCAAAAAAATTAAAAACACTGTTGAAAACTGAGCGCTGAAGAACTATTGCAGTAAACCTAGTTTGACTGGTGAATTCTGTGCCAAGTGCAAGATCAGAGAAAAGCTGCTTCCTCTGCTTAGCTCAGAGTCAATTGCTAAGGTGTGGTAGGTTGTTTCTATGGTAGCAGAGATCATATGCCACATCCTACAGCTCTCGAATGTCTCTTTTCAGCTCTGTCTTGAGGACGTGCTAATAATCCTCTGCGATGTTTCCTGAATGTTCTCAAACTACAAGGAAGACTCGGTGGTTATGTAACAAGAGAGCAGCGTCAGTCTTTACTATGGCAGGATTAAGCAAGCATTATTTAATTTTATGTAAAAGGCATTCTATACAGCTCAGTCTTAGTCTCTTAAGCCTGTTGCTTGGTATTCCCCTTTGCCAGAAGTGACTGTTCTAGCTGCCAAATCTCTCCTGGACACAGCTTGCCAGTTGTTTTTGTAAAGCTATGCTTTTTTCTTCACACCTCTCATTACTCTCATTAGCCTGGGGGAATTTAATTAACTTCATATCAAGCTGGCAGTCTAGAGCCCAGATGTGTCGTAACTTATGTCGGATTAGGTGTGTAACATTGTTAAAGAGAGAACCTCTTCTTGCTTTACTCCTTTTTCTGTTCTTTTCCACTGGCAATCTCTACCCTGCTTGTTGGTCTGAAGCAGTCCCTAGCTCCTAGAAAGAGTAATGCTGGGTCCCGTGCTTTGGAAAAGGCGCTGTGCGGAACTGAGCCCCCCTCGCTGTTGTTCTCCAATGAAAGATAATTAAAGGTCGTGGTATTTGTGTATAAAAATAGTTCACCACACAAGGGCTGCAGCTAAGAGGAGAGGTTGTAAATACTGCATTAAGGTTATTTCTTCTGACTTAGTCCCATCGTTGCTGCGTTCACGTGTGCGTAACTTTCCCGGTGCAAACTTGCCCTTCTTTCCTTCCTCTTGTTTGTAACTTAGGGAAGCATCCTTGAAGAGCAGTTCCTTCTAGCTAGGTCTGTCTAGAGGTCATTTCTTGATGGTATTTTTTTCACGTGTGGTGTTCTGATCAGCAGAGCTGCAAGTTCACCTGCAGTTTTGTGAGCAGAGCTGGCTCTCGGTTAACAGCTCAGAATATGGCATGACATTATATTTTGGAGTTAGCTTTTCTGTTCATGCTTTGCCTTGGAACTCTTGCTGTTCCAGGTTGATGCACGCAGTGACCGAACTGGGGAGGTCATCTTTAAGGACAACTTTGCTTCCTCCATTGCAGGAGTGGTGGAAGGGGATTACAGAATGGATGGGAGCACCCAGTTAATCTGCTGTTCAGTTGATGGTGAAGGTAAGAGCCTTGTTCAGGATATTAATTTAATACACAATAATATCGGGTGCTTTGCATCACCTCAGATTAGCTAAACGTTGTTTCAGTTCCATAGGCATTTTTGCGTGCCCAGTTCCCTTTCCTTTATGCAAAGTTAAGGGAATTTTGAGTTAGGCTATCTGCAAATGGGATTTTGAATATTACCTTCTCCGTGATAGTCGGCATATGTTTCATTATGATCCAAGAAGTCATCAAAATTCATTTGCCTAACGGAAGAAGTCCCATCCTAATAATGCAGAGATAAGTACATTCAGTACAGATTGTGGTTCTTCAGGCAACATTATTATAGATGAATGTATAGGAAATCTTTTTTCCTATATGTGATTATTCTTTGGTCGCTTTACAGTGGGTAAAGATGTTTAGAGAGCTAAGAGTGTGTGTGTTTTGGTTTTCTTCTAAAGATGAATTGTTTTTATATTAGAAATTATACATGTTAACAGTGCTTTTTTCCCTGGAAAATGCTATCCTGAGACTGGAGAGCTGGTGGATTTATCCCACCATGCATTCAAGAAATTAGACCTGGTTACTGTGAGTGGAAACAAATACAGTCACAGATGATTTAAATAAGCTCAGCATGAATTTGCAGGGGTGGCTCCAGGAAAGACACTGATGTGATTATCCGGCTGCTTGGCGTCAGTGGCCCGAGACAAGCAGGTCTGGCACAACTCATTTGGAACAAAAGCCTGTCCTTGTTAAATAACACAGTGTTTTGCTGTCTGTCTTAGTCACAGGCTGCAGGGATTTGCTGTGCCTGGGCTTCAGTGTATAAACCTTTTTCCCAAGCTTACAGAAGGGGAGCATCGTACGCAGTTCTGAAGACACCTTGCCGTAGCAGAGCTGTGTAGGTTAATATCACTGAACGTGATCATCCTTTTCTGATGGATCAGTCCTAAACAAATCCTGGCACAGTGGGGATCCCTTCAGGCAGGAGCCTTTAGGCATTACTAAGTAGCAATAGCCCGGTTGATGGGGGTTATATGGACAATGCATTCTCATAGTCCATGTCATTAGAGTTCTGTTTGGGGCCAGCATCCTTTCATGGGAGGTGTTCTTCTGTGTTTCAGTGTGTTTTCTGTCTTGCTCTCATTTTAAATGAATGAGTCACACAGAAATAATAAAGCGAGTCCTTTTGTTGGAGAACAGTGTGCATGCTGAATGCTTTTCAAGTTCCCTGCAACTTTTCATGGGGGTTACACAGTCAGGCAGCATATTCTTCACAGGTATAAGATTTTTGTCCCTGGCTTTCGTTGTCAGCTGCAATCAGAGCACAGAGCCCTAGAGCAAACCAGAAGTTTATAGCAAGTGTCTTTGTCTCCTCCGTTCAGCTCTTCTGTCTCCACAGGCAGTTGGAGATATTTCCATAACTCTGTGCTCCGCTGGGCTCCTGGGAAACAGGTCTTACCCCTTGAAGTGAACTATCCCTTGATTTGGGGAAAACCTAATGTGGATAAATCTTGTTTACTGGCTGATTGACAGTGACTTACAGTCACTTCCAGACAGTAACAACTCCTCTGACCAGCTCTAGAAATCCAGGTACACGTTCTATTAATTTTGCATAATTGCAAACTTGCCTAAGCATCTGAAAGAATGATTGCAGTGGGAATCCTCTTACAAAAGAACCGGGCACTGCACTTGTCTGGTCAGGTGAAGACAGCTTAAAGACAAGTTGGAAATTCACTTTTTCTTTTTTTAAATGTGTAGTTCTCTTATCCTACTCACCAAGAAAGTCAGGACCCCTGTGGGTGTAAGTCAACACTCAGGTTTCCAGCTGAATGGTACCAGCCAGAGACCAGAATCAGTGTCTGCTGCTGAGGTGGTACAAGGGGGTTACTTGTTACAGAAGCTGAAGTTTTGGGGGGGCTGTGAAAGGCTTTGCTGAAATTGGCTATGTTTTGTTTCTGTACAGTCCGAGGCTATCTGCCAGGAGGTGAGGAGATGAAAGGAAACCTCATGGATACAAGTGCTGAGCAGGATCTGATCCGAGAACTTAGTCAAAAGAAACAAAATCTGCTACTGGAATTAAGAAATTATGAAGAAAATGCAAAGGTACTACTTAAACAATGTGTAGGGCCAAAACACACCTTCCTATTGCTACAAATCTGGAGTAATCTGGGAGGCGGTCATGGGACAGTCCAGACAAGTCATAGATGTAACCTATTAGGATGCAGCGAGATTATCGACTGGGGATTCCTGCTTCTGCATCTGGCTTGCTCCTTGTGCAAGTTCAGAATTTGCTTTTTGTGTTTTAATAAGTAATGTTTTCCTTGCTCCTTCGGCTTGCTGGAGCAGTTGTGTTTGGAGCTGCATTCTGTTGAGCCCTGTGCTTTGGCTTATGACTGCAAATTGTAATTTTCAATGCATAAACCAACTTGGGGGTCAGAGAGGACTGTGTGAGAGGATCAGGAAATTGGGTGAGGACTGGGAACACTGCCAGGGTGTAGGAAGCAGGCTTGTGGCTTGATGGTGAAGGTGCAGAAAGAAAGAGCTTTGAAAAATAGTCTGAGGAAAGAGCATACTCATATTTGAACAGTAAATGCCCACCATAGCAAAAGCATGGAATTATATAAGCTCGTGCTTAAAATTGAATACGTTAAGTGCTTTTCTGAATAAAGGTTTGGGTACAGAGCTGAGCTTCATTGACAATAAAGCACTTGAACCAATTGTAGCACAAGTGTCCACGGCTCCGTGCCTAATCCAGCCACTATTCATAGCAATGTGAAGTGTCTGGGAATTGCTGTAGTACTACCTTCTCCTGCAAGAAGAGAGAACTGACTTGGGCATATGTTTTCTAGGTTGCTTGAATGAAAAACTTGAAATTCTGATACTGAAGGGTATGTGTTTTGCGACAGGCTGAACACAACGCACAGTTAAAGGAAGCTGATGGACAGGGAGGTGTGATTCCAGCAAATACTCAGCTCCAGACAGCCCTCTCAGTTAATCTGGGCTCTGACAGCCAGTCTGCCCACGTGGAGCTGTGTATTTCCACCACAAATGGTGAGTGGTAACCTGCAATGACTGACATTCATTTCATGTAAATTCATGCAAACATTTAGTTATATTTAGCTGATGATTTGCCTGTCTCCTTTATTGTCTGTAATTTCCCCTCTGTGGTTGCTTTCCTTTCACAGAGTTTTGAATGAAGCAGTGTTCCTTTGATAGGTCTGAGGGGAGAGGAGTTTGATGGAATTTGTTTCTGTTATGTGTTATTTTCCAAGGGAATTAACATTTAACTTGGACGAAACGAGTCTTGGTGATCCCTGCAAGGCTCCTTGTGTTGACTCTAAGCATTAACCTACAACCGTGTTAGTGAGGGTGTTGCATGAATGCAGCTGGACCTCAGCTGGCGTTATATGCAAAACTGGAACTACCCCAAGATAGCAAATTCGCCTAGCACCAGGTGTGCTGAGGATGCAGTCAGGTCCCAGTGTGGTAGCGCTGGTCATCTGGAATATCTTAACAGTTCAGAGGAGGGATGTAGAGTTGACTGTGCTTAATTCTGAAGACAGCAGTGGTTTATTGCCAGAGGACAGCTGTTAATTTAGGAACTGCTTTTTCTTCCTGTTGCTAAGACACAGTCATCCGTGCTGTGCTGATCTTTGCTGAGGGCATATTTGAAGGAGAGAGCCACGTGGTACACCCCAGTCTCCAGAACCTCTCGGGCTGTGTTCGTGTTCCCCTTACTCCACCCAAAGATGTCCCTGTGGATTTGCACATCAAAGCCTTTGTGGGTTACAGGAACAGGTGAGTTTTGTGTTGTGATCTCTCCTGTTCTCCAGAGCTAACTGCCTGACCAGGAAACAGCCATGATGTGGCTTCATGCTTGTCCTGTGGGAAGGGCACCGTTAATTCCCTGGTGCCCCACTTCTCTGTGTTACTGGAAGGAGAGCTGGAATACTTTCTTAAAAACACTATTGCACCTGTGATGCTGAGCTCTTCTCCAGACAAAGTCTAAATGCTCTGGAGTCATTGCGACTTGCTGTGCTCCTGCCCTGCATTTAGGGGAACAGTGAGCATTTCTTGTCCAGAGGATGCCTTATTGTGGGTTTCTGGAGGGAATCAAGAGAGGTAGAGGCTGTATCCAGGCTGCCCACTCTAAGCGGCTGCCTCTCCAGGCCCTGCGTGGTGGCTGCTCTGGAAGAAGTGGTGTCTTTTAAGCTACAAAGTGACCCTGAACCCATTTGTCTTCAGGGTGGGTAGAAAATAGGATGTGCCTGATTTCAAGGCAATGCTTTTCCAGTTTCCCATAGAAATAAAATGTCTCTTCATACACACTTGAAAACAACTTTCTCCCTGCTCACGTCTCCCAGAACTGGCAGTGCTCCAAGAAGTGGCATCCTTTCCCTGAACAGGGAGGTATATTTTGGGAGCTAGCCAACCAGTGCAGAAAGAATGTGTGGGACTGATTTCCCTTTTTGTTTTCTGTATTTGTCTTTATTATTGCTTTTAATAAGACTTCACTGAACCTGTAAAGAAAGTATCCATTCACATAGCAAAATCGTAAATGTTAGCCTAGAGATATCATTGGAAGGATTATGGAAAATGTAAGCAACGAGGAGGAATCATTCAACCTTGTGACGTGATAAGCCTGGAATTTCCAAGTTCCAGTGTTTTTTCTGGGAAATGGTAAGCAGCTGATTACATAGCTGGAAGCTGCTGATGTCAGTAGCCAGCTAACAAAGAAACGGGAACCGTTGCAATAGAAGAATCCCTGATATGTTAGTAACTGTCTCTGTTTTTCCTTTGCATTGCTTCCAGCACACAGTTCCATGTATTTGAGTTGACAAGACAGCTTCCCCGTTTTTCAATGTATGCCCTGAGCAGCCCGGACTCAGCCACGGAGCTGCTGAGCTTTGTTAACTGTACAACAAATGAGAGACCGCAAAGGGTGAGTTTCTGCTCTGCTTCCTATTTCCCGGTCCTGTGTACGGATACTGCAGGGGGAGGGTTTGCAATTAGCTTGAGATTTCCGAGAGCAAAGGAAAAATTATGCAGTGAACTGCACTGACCTTTGGACCCTGTGTATTACACCTTGACTCAGTGCTTTTTTTTTATTCCTCCTTCTCTAAAAGATGCCTCAATTGAGGCATTCCCTGCTTCAGGAATTCCTGCAGGGACTAATGGCCTGAGATCATGAGGCGTTTCAGATATTATCTTTGTTATGTGACAACTGATGGAATGCCAGCGGCAGGAGCCTATAGTGAGTGATGAATTTTGCAAATGAGCGGAGAACAGGAAGAAGGCAGTACAGTGCCCAGATAATGGCTCAGATTCGTAATGGATGAGCAGCAGTGCTGTAGCTTTGGTTCCAAAAGATCTGAATTGTGGGATGGCAGTAATAAGAGCTGGTCATTTCCCTCATAACTGTAGGGCTCTGCCATATTTACATGACCTTTACTGCATTAAATGGCCAAGGCAAAAACCAAGATGAAACAAAACTTTCCTTTAAATTCGTGCAGTAGAATCAAGCCTTGCTTCCCAGCTTTCTCCAGTCTCCAGGCCTGGGATTCTGTTTTGACCTTGGGCTGTGATCTCTGGTTGTTGGATTTGATTTTCTTACAAATATTCAGCTTTGGAGCAGGGAGTCAACTGTCCCCGTTCTAATAAGTTCATGATGTGGGTTTAGGGGATGAAATTTAGTGAATGAAATTTCCAAGGTACCTTGAACAGAGCGCCCTGGTATGCATCACATATGGGGACATTGCGTGGTTCCCCAGGCTTTCCATACAGGTGATGGCTGATGCTCTTCATTTTGTTTTTTGCAAGATCATTATGTGGCTGAATCAGAACTTCTTGCTACCAGAGGATGCAGAGTTTCAGACTGCTCCCTTTCAGGTTTGCTTCACTTCCCTTCGTAATGCAGGTCAGCTCTGCATCAAAATCAAGCCCGGCGGAGAGGTGAGTAACTTCATGGACAAGGGAAACACCCGTTTAATTATACTCTGGTGAAACTTAAGGGTGGTGCCAACATCAGACAGTGAAAATGAAGGAGGACTGAACAGGCAGAGGAAGTACTCATGTTTTAGGGATGGTTTTGGAAGCTTTTTGGTCTGTTTACTGTTAGTGGGTAAAATTCCAGGGCCAGTTAATGAAGAAAACCACTTAGCCTACAGATCTGTAGGAAGGCATTTGTTCCCACACAGAGTGGTTTCAGGGAGCCATAATTAGAGGCCCAAAGGCTGCCTGTACCTTTTGCACTGGTCGTGTATGCACAGATGCCACTTTGCCCCAGGCTGAATAAAAACCCCTTTGCAATCAGTGTCTCCTTATCTACTTAGAGCCTAGAGCTTGCACATGCAACGATTTTGCCTCTTTGATAGAATGAACTGCTTTGAGCCTGGGTAACTGTTTTGACATGGAAGAGGGCTGAAGTGCTTGATTTCCTTTCTGACAGATTTCCATCAACACGGATGATATTGATCTAGCTGGTGACATTATCCAGTCAATGGCCTCCTTTCTGGCCATCGAAGATTTGCAGGTGGAAGCAGATTTCCCTGCGTACTTTGAGGAGCTGCGGAAGGTTTTGGTCAAGGTGAGGAGTCATCGGGCATTTCTAAATTGGCAGCTAAGCAGTCGTGGGGCATTTGTGTGAGAAGATCTCTAAACTGCTTTGTCTTCTTTGTGGAAATCAGCCAGCGATGTCTTGCTGTATATTCTGCCTAAAGGGACACCCCCAACTTTGTGTTTATTCTTTGCTCTGTAGAACAGGCCCTTGGTCCCCAGCAGTTGACTGTTTAGAATAATGTAAATGTATTGTCTGGGAGACCAAGCTGTGGGTTTGGGTCAGGGCGTAAGGTGTATCTCAGCCTGATCACTCCTGTCTGGGAGAGAAGGGAGAGAAGGTACTGCTCTGGCAGCCAAGGCGTGAAGGGAAGGAGAATGGTCCCAGGGATGCTGGTAGGTTAAGTTGGGATGTTATTTCCTATTACAACAGGCCAAGATTTAGCTTGAGCAATTACCTGTATGCCCAGAGTGCCAGGGGCACTTTCTCATGACTGTTTGCCTTGGACAGGTGGATGAACACCACGCGGTGAATCAGAGGCTCACTGCCGACATGGCTGAACACTCCAACCTCATCCGCAGCATGCTGGTTCAGGCGGAAGACGCACGACTCCTGGGAGACATGTGAGCAATTGCTGCTTAGCTTGCGCGTTTGGGGTTTAGAATGGCCAGTCTTTGCTTTTCAGGCAGGAAAGAGCACAGAAAAACATTTCTGTGATATAGAAGTTACCTAGTTATGACTCGATGTAGAGTCGGTACCTTTGCTGATCCCACTGTGAGCTCTCTTTGAGTCTTGTCTTGTTCTTTAGGTGGAAAACCAGTCTCGGGAAGGCAAAAGGGCAAGAGTAAGGGCTTTGTATGGAGCCCGTGGGGTGAATCAACCTCGAGATGGTGAGATAGATTAGAAAAGGTACATTAAGGGAAGAAGGCAGTAAAAGTTGTCTGTGAACTTTTGAGAACACCAGGAAAGAAATTTTAGGTGTCAGTTTTTTCACTCTGATTTGCTCTGTTTTGCTAATGTCCTCTCTTTACTGTCGAGAGCAGCAGTAAAGAGGTCTGAGCTACTGCAGAGCAGCGTTACTTTCACTGGGGAAAGCAGCATCTCCTCTTGGGTTGCTGGATAAAGTAACTGCAAAAATAGACCATTTTTTTCAGTATAATAATGAGTATAACCACCATGTCTAGACGAGTCTGTTGTCTTATAGCTGGCAGACACACGGGTACCCGTGGTAGCCTGACAACCATGTATCGCTGCACCTTTATATTGGCAAACCAGGAATGACTTTCTTGTCCCCAGAGATGCAAATAACTGGACTGATTGTTCCCCCAGGAAAAACATGAAGACACGGTACATCGAGCTGTATGATCTTAACAGAGATTTAATCAATCAATATAAAATTCGTTGCAACAATCACACAGAGCTATTGAATAATCTGAAAGCTGTGAATCAGGCAATCCAGAGGGCTGGGCGGTTACGTGGTAAGTGTGTGTGTTTGGAGGGAACGGGAAGTCTTGGACCCCAGTGAGGCAGATAAGATGTGTCTTGGAGGCCACCTGGGTTAGTTAAGTGACTTGAGGCTTTTTGGCCTGAAAATAAATTAATATAAGTAATCTTTCATTTTTCAGTCATAGCCAATTACCTGTGACAGTCAACTCTGAGTGTCTAGTATAATCTGGGATCGCAGTTTTAGCAAGAACAGTTCAAAGCAGTTTCCAGCTTTCTGGATAGTATAGAAATTGCTAGGTTTGTTGAACACAATTTAAAAAACAGTGTTTCAGTTCTTAATTTATAATTCTGCTTTAAAAAAACCCAACTTATCAACTTAAGCAGGCTGTTTATCTATGTTATTAGTTCTGTAGGCCTTTGGGGAAGGGAGGTATTGTTTTGTCTATTTATAGCATTCCTCTTCCAACAAGTCCTTTAAGCTCTCCTGTAGTAGACCTACAGACAATTCTTTAAAGAAAGGATTTCATTTACATATTAAAAAGGTGGCATTTCACCATATGTTAAAAAATATTGGAAAGAAACCCTTAAATTTTGAGACTGGATCAAATGAGTACTTTTATCAGTTTCTTACTTGGTAACTTAAGTGGTTTTTATTTTCTTTCCTCTTTTTTTTCTTTCTTCTCTTTACAGTCGGCAAACCTAAAACACAAGTGATCAGTGCTTGTCGGGATGCAATACGAAGCAACAACTTTAACATGCTGTTCAGGATAATGCGTGTGGGAACAGCCTCTTCTTAAAAGGACTGGGAGGAGCAGCAGTTGCACAGGGGCAGTGTTTGCATGCAGCGGGCAGATAACGGACCAGTACCGACAAGTGGTCAATTTAGTCCCCTACTCCACTGTGGGGTGAAATAATTGCAAAGGTAGCATTTTAGTTGAGCCATCAGGAGAGAAATGTTACTATGCAGGCTAAAGCTTTGTGAAGAAAGCATCTGAGTTTAAGTGCAGGTGTGGTATTTATGCAAGACAGAGGTATAACCTTGGAATAGTTATTTTTTTTACAGTAACTTATTTATGTATTATAATATATTTTGTAGTTAAGGCATCAGCCTTTTCCATTAAAACATAGACTGGTTTGACTGCTTTTGTTCTGATTTAGTTGGGGAGGTGCATATGGTTAAGTTTATTTGTTGGGGAAAAAAAAAAGCAAACCCAACCAAAAAGCCAACCACTTTTCTGGTTTTGCTGCGTAGTCTCTGTGCGCGGTAAGCACTTCAACTCTCTGAGTTGGAGAATCCCGGGTTTCATTGCAGGGATGTGCTGCTTTCTAGGTAAACTGCAGTTCAGTGTATTAGAAGCACCAAAGGGATAACATCTCCTTGCTGGCTTTTAAGCCAGAAGATCTTTGAAAGCCATCCGGTTCCACAATCCACGCAGGTAGGAAGTGGTCTGTTTCACATCCAACACTCTCCCCACACCTGGATTGCAGGAAGTTTTGCTTCCAGCAACTGGTTCTGTGCTACTGCTGGAAAAAACTGCACATACTGAGGTGGGCAAGGGTGCATCTCGGGAATAACAAAAAGAAACCACACGCCCAGGCTTGGCGCATGCTTACGAGGAGCTGGCAGTACTTAATGGGATCAAAAGGAGAAGGTATTGAAAAATCTCTTGGCTCTTGGCTCAAAGCTGTTTATTAATTGTGGGATCTCTTAGAACTGGATTAAAATATTGCAGTAAGGCTCTATCTTAGATCTAAAGATATTTTTAGAACCTTTGCCAAAGCAAATTTCTTCTAGAAGCTAAAAATATCCTGCACAGGCTGGAGGTCGGGCCTCAGTGCTGCTAGCTGCTGTGCCATTCATCACGCCTACGACTGTATGGATCGGTGTTTGCAGCGCGGGCAGGGAGGAGGCAGTCCACCGTGGTGAAATGAAGTTCTTGGGTAGCTTCTTGGGGTTGTCAGGAGTATTCGCGTGCTGTAACCGGTCTGTCTGTTACTTGCCACCGCTGAATTAAAGCCAGCAGCCTGCCATTTGTTACAGAGCAACCGGCGAGCGTGCAACCGGTTGAATGGGGAATGTAATTCTTGCATTGCATTTTAATCCCCAAAATGGCCCCTTGCCGCTGCTTCGGCCCCTTCAATATGGAAAACTGCGCTGCCAAAAGCACAGATGTCTGTCCCTTCAAATCTGCAGCAGGAGCTCATTTGAATCTTTTTAAGAACCTGGTTGTTAGTCAAATCCAGCTCCTTGGTAAGAGGGTGGTAAGCCACCCATGCTGTTCTAAGCAAGTGAGCTTTACGACTTGATTATGGAACAGTCTCCTGGCGTAAGTGCTGGGCTTTCTGCCACCTGCTGTACCTGTTCCCACTGTTTCAACCTCTTGTTCTTTATGTTCAAAATCCTAATGCTTGCTTACTTACATTTAGGTAGTCCATTGAATGATAAGAGAGTGGCTCTGATCAGAAAGCAGCTTTCCCATCAGCCTGATTTTTCAGGGCTCCACAGCAGGCACTTCCAGCCCCAGCTCTGTTTTGCTCTTGGCAGTGAGGTCAGTCCTTCGGTCACAGCCCAGACCTCTGATAAGGCTGATTTCCCCCAGCTAAGTTTCTGACAACAAATTTCTTATTTATTTTTTCCGTAAAAACAACTTTTATCTTTGCCAAATGTAAAACCCACATCCCGTAAGCTGAAGTGATAACCAGGTTTGCGGTCGCCTGTTGAAATAAAGCAGCCCTTGGCTGGCGTGCAGCCGCAAGCCGACATAAGCTGAACCTGCACCAGGAGATCAGCGGCCAACAGTCCCCACTGGTACGATTCAGCCCAGGGCTAACGCATAGTGATCCCATTCTCGGGTACGGGAGGGGTTAAGCTGCTGGTCAAGTACCTCTGAATAATAATAATAATAATCTCTGAAACCACACTAGTTAGAGCTGCATGTTGCTAAAAATTCATGGACAAGGCTACTTAGATGGCACCATGCCTTGGTACATGCACTAGGGATTGGGTCTAGACTGCTGTCATGCCCTGCTGCAGCACTTTAGTGCCTGCCTGAAACTTCAGTTTGGGCTAGAGCCTTCCTCACACGGCCCCTTTGGTGCTTGGGAAACACACTGCAGAAGTACCGTGCTGGATCAGTGCCTGCTGAAGAGGGATCTGTATAGCAGTGATTTGTCAATGTCCTAATTCAAGTTCCAGTTTGGAGTTTAAAAAAGCCAAAACAATTGGAACTGACACTTAACAACAGGTTATCTGATTTTAGCCCCTGTTTCTCCAATTCTCGTGGATCGCTCCTCATCTTAATTAATACTAATTCACTGAATAGCCCATCAGAACTTCTTTGCTGCATGTTTATTAATGCCAAAACCACTCCTTCACTCAGGTCTACAGCTAAACTGTTTTATCTCACTCCGTATTGAATTGTTCCTGTTTCAGCTACTTGGCAAACTGATAACCACCAAATCTCAAAATACTTGTTGTGAAGTACTTGAACAACTCAGTAACTCAATTACTTCAGTAACCAAAAGCTGCTGGTACCCTGCCTCAAATGCCAGGCTTTGGAGGTGCAGCCAGCTGGTGGGAAACGTGCATCCTCATACAGCCGAGCTCATCCAACGTTTGCAGGAGCCCGTCTTGCCTGGTATGAAGTTTCGGTTCTCTGTTGCTCACGCTCCATAACTCTCTTCACTTGCTGTTCTCAATCCTGTTTTTCTATATTGTCTTGCTTACTTATTTTACGGGTGTGTGTATATATTTCATATTTATATTACTTTCCAGAACGATCAGAGTACTTTATAAGCAGCTACACCTAATTGTAAGTACAGATTTGTATCCAGCAAGAGCATCTATAGAGAGGGCTGACATTATCGGCGCAGTTTAAACGAAGACCCCTCTTCCCCCAGTAGCTCATGGTATTTGAAATGTCGGTGAGTGGAGTCTTTCCCCTGTACCTGCAGCGCCAGCCATGCGTGGGGCTGCCTTTGGCTTTTGGGACCTAACAGGACAGGTGAGAGAGCAGAGACATGTTGATTTTTAAATGTTTGAATGCTAGCTGCAGATTTGGCTTCTTAAATTCCTTCATCTTGGTCACCGGAGGCAGAAGGGTGGTTCCTTGTGGGATCAGAGAGATACGGGCTTGCTCAGGTAGAGGCCGGTATGCCCTCTAGTGTATTATTTTTTATTAAAAAGCAGTAAGCTTCAGAGAGCCCAGCTTCTTCCCTGTTTCCTGGGAGGCTGTTCCAAGATCTACCAAGCACACTTGTTGGCGCACGATATAGTAGAATGAGTAACTTTATTTCATTAATTAATTTACTCCCAACTTTTCCTAGCCAGCTATGCTGTGAAGAGCTGTGGTATCTTTCACCTTTGTTCAAAACTACCCAAATAATTTTGCCCCCCCCTCCTTGAAACCTCCATTACTTTTCTCTTTCTACTGGAGCAGCTCAGAATAAGAACTGCTTGCTCCCCAAGAAGAGCTGCTGCCTTGATAGGCATCAGAGTGCCTCAGAAACCAATAAATCACAAAGAGAGTCCCATCCTCTCTTCAGGATTTGTTTCTAGCTTCATCTCCTTGTCTTTGTAAGTAGCAAAGCAAGATTAAAACCAAGCAAGAAAGTCTTGGCAGTGCACAGAGAAGCCAGCTTAAGGAGACGAGTCAGAATATGAGTAAGATGGTGTAGATCCCGCAATAGCAGCTTGGCACAACCACCTTCCAGCTTCCCAGGAGGGCATAGCCAGAACCGAGCAGCTGCTCATAGTCCGGGACTGGAACTATAGTCCTGCACATCCCTCTTTACATGGCTGGGCTGTCCCCTTGCTCTGACAGTGGTGGGGGCTGAAACACTGTTCACTTGGGAAGCAATGGCAGCAGCTTCAGACTTCAGTGGTTCGTTTTTCGAACCTTGTGTGTTGGGATCACAACTGAAGGTTGTTGCTCCTCTATTTTCACGAAGGCACGCCTAAAGTATGTCCTGCTCTGCGAAAGCTGCAGAGTACTCATGTACCGACACAGCTAGCCTTGCTTTGAGCTTACTGTTCCTCTGCTGCCAGCTGTGGTTTTACACCGCTGCTGTGGTCTTCAACGACAGGCCTGAAACTGGAGAAGCAGCAGACTCTAATCCAAAGTTACCTTCTCCCACCCCAGGAAAGGCAGGAGGAATTAAATGTGCCTGCTCTCCCCAGCTCACTGCAAGCCCACAACCTGCACACTCTGCCTTGGAAGAGCTGAAAATACACCTGTGTCTCTTCATTGCCAAAAAAATGTTTCAGGCAAGCAGGTGCAGGCCAGAGCCAAGCCTGCAGCAAGGTGTTGGGCAGTCTGGCTGCCTCCTGAAGCAACCAGCGCAGCTCTGCAGCAGCAGCTCTTAGGGGGCTGGACACCCCAGAGGTGAGAATCTGGCACAGTCCTGCTTGCAGTGAACGTGGGGCAGGCGAGCAGGGCTGAAAGGCTGTGCCGGGGGGAGGCATCGCACCAAGACCACTGCCCTTTCTTGTACTGGTTGCCACAGGACCTGGATATCTGCTACTTGGAACGATCGGAGCTGATCTCCAGTGACAGAAGCCACATGGGAGCCCAGCAGACCCCAGGACAAAGTGAACATGAGGCCACGCTGTTGGTGACCCTCCTGTTGCTGCCCGTGGATGAGAAGCCAGGAAGAGGTGAGTTACCACCAGCCCACCGCCCCTGTTCTGAGGCTGGAGCCACAACTCTGTCACATCCCAAGTGGGGAGCCGTCCGCGTACCCACACAAGTAGCGTATGCAGGAGCAGGTCTCTTCTCTGTTTAACTTGTAAATTCTTTGGAGAAAGGGCTGCATCTGGGTCTGTCTGCACAGCATTTAGCATAATAAAGTCCTGCTCCTTGTTACAGTGCCAGGTCCTTCTCAGTGCCAGCAGCTTTATAGCCTCACTGTCTTCCTTCCCAACTCCACAGAGTTGTGCAGCTGGAAAAACCTCATATTTCCTATGGCAGCTCCTTTATTTCTGCCTCTACAAACACTGAACACAGTTAAGCCCCAGAAAACGTCTTGGGTATTTTGTAATAAAACTTGCCCAACCACTGTTTGAAGCATTTAACTGACCTATTTCTTTTTATTTATTTTTTTTAAAATAAAACCAGTCATCAGCTCAGGGCAATGTACAATTGTAATTTTTCACCCTGACAGGTTAGTGATGCATGCCACCGAAGCTATTTCCATGAGAGAACAGCTGGAAAGCTGACAGAGTCATGTGACGATGACCCCCTCCACATAGTATTAAAAGCAGTCGAGAGTGCATGTTACAGGGGACTCAGGAGAAGACTGGATTTCCATTTGTACAGTTACAAAAAGTTACTGGGACCCCCCCTGGTAGGGTACAGCTCATATACAGCACGATGAAGTTACCGTCAGTAACATTTGTCTGGGCTTAGACAGGTCCCACCTGAAGGCCTGGACAGAAACCTGCCCACCACCATTTTCTGTGTGACTGTGGTCACGCTCTGCACCATCACTCATAATAAACAAAGGAAAAATCCCAAAATCCTGTTCTGTTCGGATGCTTGTTCAGGTGTGCCAAGCTGCGATGATTGATGTATTTCACAAACTTCATAGTTTCTTTGTCTCTATAAACTAAGGCCAAGCAGTTGTCCTCTGGATTCACTGTCAACAGCTGGAAGACACGAAAGTAAGGGAGGAAATGAGTTTCACAAAAATGGCTTTGATATCATTCTGAGGAAGAAAACAACCAAAACAGTTTCAAAAGCTAGTCAGAACAAAGGTCTGGTGTTAGAAAATAAACCGTGGCACTATTTTCATTTTAATACCCCTCAACCTTGAAACATTTATTATGCAGTAAGGGATTCTGGACTTCTTATTAGTATGACTGCTCAGCACTGTTGCTAGTACCGATACTGAATGTGACCCTGTAAACAGCACTTCCCTGGAAAAGCATCATCTCTGCTAAGGCCTTGGGCCCCTCTGGGGCTTCCCAAACGCCACCAGGTGCCGGTGGCAGGCGGCACTATCAGGGCCTGAGTCTTAAGCTTTACGGTGAACGCCAGCCTCTTGAAGGTGAAGCCAAAGCTGTGCCCCGAGCGGTAATTCAGGCAGGAAGGCTCCAGTGAGGTATTGAGCACCCTCAGGATTGTGTTAGCATTGTGACAAGAGTGTAATTATATTTCTCCACCTGAAACAATTTTATTTAATTTGCAGCTAGCAACTGAGGTCCTTACCTCTTCATCTTCACCTTTAGCGATGTAGGAAGTAAAGCCACCATATTCTGGATCCCAGTCTTAAAATGGAAAAGAAAGATTCTTAGAAAGTTCAACGCTGTCATCCAGGCTCCATACGGCCTTCCCCGAGATGCTGTTTTTCCACCCCACTCCTCCCAGTTACTGGATACAGGATGGGCCCCAGTTTTTAAACTCTGTTCAGAAACAACTTGAAGCAAATGTACTGGATTTGTGTTTTAGCACAGACAGGCCATTTAAGGTTGCTTAGCTCTCTGCTCCTCCCATGCAGAGCAGTTTTACCTTAGCAGATATGCAAAACGATTTCAGTATAATGACCAGCATGTGCCAGGTGGTTTCAGCTGTGCATTCTGGGCTCACCTACTCCAAAACGCTTATGTGCAGATTTTTGTTTTCACCACTATCTGACTAGTGATCAACCTAAAATGCCCAGCCATGCCTAAAATAACTTTTGAAAACCTTGGGCTTTGTGATTTGGAGGCGCAGTGATACTTTTGATGAGGGAAGGGATGAAATGGAAGACTTTGGGTATTCTGGCCACCTGACCCTCCACCATACCCAGAGCCACCGCTTCCTGAGAGGGAAGGTCTGGGAGACACAGCCTTTCCCTCTGCCCAGGCGCCACCTCCTGGCTCCAGCAGGAAAGGTGGAAGCTGATCCCAAGGCCATCATCCCAAATCTTTGTGCAAGGACTACAGGGCTTAAGCAGAAGCGAGGACTAGGATAAGGTCCATGGAGCCCTTCTAAGTAGGAAATTTTGGCTATTGTAGCCCTGCTGAGAATTCAGAAGTCCTTCCTTTACGCAAACCTTCTAAGGAGAGTCGAACATCTCTCTCTTGTCTGCTTACCCTCACAGCCACAGAAGAAGAGCAGGTCGAGAGCAAATTCTGTTGCTTGAGTGTCGTGGACTAGGGTATAGTGCCTGTGGGTCCAGCGCCTCAGCTCCCCTGCACACACAGGGGCACCTGAGCCTAGGAGAGGGAAAACACTGAAGTAGTACAATGGCTGCCGCTTGCTGAACTCAAGGCATGTCGGGGACAAGCCCCTGCACCGTCACGCCACGCTGAAGCTCTTTTTGCCCGCCCCAGCAAGGCGTAAAGGGAAGAAAAAGTTAAAACCACAGATCTCACGTTAACTTCTCTTCTAAAGGTGGCTCTAAGTTATGCGCTTTGAACAACGTGGAGGAATGGGGCCAGGATTTGCTCTTTGACAGGTCCAAGTTACGATGTGCTTTGGTTTAACCAGTTCTTGCTTTTTTGTTCTGTTATCCCCTGGATTTTACAGTAGAGCTCTGAACCCCAAAAGCCAGCAATCTGTTCTGGAAGTACACCGAAACTACCAGAAGCTTCAGTGAAGAAGGATATTGCTCTGAACTCACTCTCGGTGTGTCATCCCAGGAGGTATGTCAGAATTTGGGGAAGCCTTTCTTTTCTCATGCGTCTAGCTCAGTTTTTAATCCATGCAGCCCCAAACTATGCCCTCCTTATATGTGAATTTAAAATCACACAGTGGGAACGTGGTAGATAGAAGAGGCGAAGTGACTAGCTGTGGAAACTGGAAAAACAAAGCGTTTGTACCAGGTAAGTGTTCTCATGGGATTTTCAGTTGGACTTGGCATTTTTTTTTATTACCTTTTATTCCAGTGTCCACTAACTTGCCTGACTTGGTGCAAGATGAGCATTTTCAAAAATTCTGCCCTTAAACTTCAAGGCTACTGTTTTAAATAAACAGCACCAATCCACGAATCCAAAATTAATCTATTCTTTGATAGCAGTGGTATCTCATTGCTGACAACTAAGTGGTTATTTAGGCTGGCAGCATTTTCTGAAAGGTTGATCCTAGTTTTAGGTATCAGTTTTCTAATTCTGACATTATCTTTACTTCTGATCTGTTCACTTTTTTTTCCTTTTGATTTGATGTCTCATACAAGAATCTGCTTTATATGAAGCAGGAGTATGTGGATGTAGAAACCATGTAACTACTGGCAAAAGATTATCAGGCAATTAATTAACTCCACACCC